TTATTTTTAGTATATCAAGCGGTGATTCAGACCTAATAGGAATCGAAGATAATGCCGACTTTGAACCCAGAGCTCAGGTAAAATTTATATACTTATTACGTATATTTTATATTCTATTTCATTTGTTTATCTCCTTTAATATTGTTAATTTTTTAGACTAGCAGGAATAATGTCAACAATTGGGACAGATACTAATGTTTTATGCTTTCATGGTACTATAATTTGTTGAGATTAAATTGTTTGTTTCCATAAACCTGTATATATTTTTGTACATTACTAAATAGTTAAAAATAAGTAAAAATACATTATACGTTTTATTTGTCCATCTTTTTTTGACCGTAATAGTTAATTCAATAATTTGCGATATATATATATATATATATGAATTCATATTTTCAATAAAAATAAACTACAATAGATAAAGTTGTCAACGTTCACCCTGTAAATACCAAATGAATTGAGACTGTGTCAATAGGGGAAGTTTTACTATTCATTGCCTTACTGCTTACTGCATTCGCAAATTGGGCATTTCTTTGGCGGTGTTTTTAATGCAATTGTAAAAGTGCCGACAATCTCATGCCGCCTGTTGCTTTTTATGCCGCACAAGCGAAAATGCATAATTTAGTTAACGTGTGGAATATATCTTTTCGGCCACGGTTCCCTAAAAATATCTCCTGTTTCTGTAAATATTGTCCTAAACTAGCCGAGCTCCCAAAATCGATTGAATAAATCGTAAAACATCTCGAAATAATTAAATAAATTGCATTTTTTGGACTATAGACTCAAATTACTTGTACAGAAGGTACTTGTACGAATTTTCATATATCCTACCGTTTTTTTTTTTAAAGACCGGCCCTTTGATGATTGCAGAAAATAGACATTCTATAATCTATACATATTATACAATACATGGTATATTTCAGTAAAATGTACAAATGTTTAGATTTTTGTAAGGAAAAACACTTCTACGAAACAGTTATTGGTTCAAAAAAAAAACTGGCAGTTGTGCAAATGTAATGGACATTATGATACGATAGGTATTAAGAACCTAGAAGAAGTAGGCAAATAGGGGAAGTTTTGAATTATAGCTTTAGTTTAAAACTCCCCATATTTTCCGATTTTTCAATTTTGTTCTTGTTGTACCTTGTTCACTCTTCAGTTTGAATTTAGAAATTGCACGGCAGTAATCTCTACAACTATTTTTCTAAAAAAGAAAAAACATGTCTTTCGAAAATAATGAAGGAAATGGCAAATCGTTAAATGAAAGTAATGCAGGGTTTTCTTTTAATAATTGTTTTTATCCGGATAATAGTTTAAACAACGAGATGTACCGCCTCTTTCCAAATTTGACTGCAGATTTATTAGTACCGTCCCAATCAGGTAATTTAAATGAATATTACGTATTAAGTACTATGATAAAATATTTTAAAGCATTGTTTTTACAAGTTACTTATTATGTGTAAAAACATTTCAAATACTCGAAATCACAGAAATACTTGTTCCAAAAAGAACAATATCAAATAACATAGCCCATAATTGTACCCAATTAAAAAATGTCATTCATTAGTTGCAGATAGTACAAATTCTTTGGATTCGTCAGGTTATTCAACAAATGAAAGCTTTAATACCTTTTCTCCAATAATGGCATCCAGTCCAAGTAAATCAGGGGAAGTGAAATATCCCGAAGAAATAGCACCTTTCACACAAACCTGCGAACTTTCCACCGCATCGTTTGAAAAGAAATTCATATTTTCGCCTATGCTTACACTGCCACAGTTTTCTGACGATTCTGCACTAACCACGTTTTCCGAAGGGTCACAACTTACACAAGAGTTCACAAAGTCAAAAAGAATAAAAAGAGGTAAAACTAAAAGCAAAGGCAAAGACGAAAATAACATGTGTTGCAAATTTTGTCAAAAGAATGGCGAACCGATTGCCATTTATACTGGTCATCAAATTAAAAATGAAAACGGAACTGTTATGTGCCCTATTTTACGAAAGTATGTATGCCCTTTATGCGGTGCTACCGGAAATAACGCACATACCCGGAAGTATTGCCCAAAGTTTGCTGATGATGCCATTGACGAATTACCCTTTTTCAGAAGGCTGTCAAATGGAGAACTTACCACTTCCTTTAACCATAAGTAATCTATGGTAATTTTTATTTTGTGTTATTTTTTATTTGTTATTGTGATATATTTAAATGAATATATTAATGTACTCACTGTGATTCACTATAAACGACTATATTAAAGATTTTAATATGACATTTATTACATACTCTATTTTTCTATTAACTTTTCAATAAACATCCTGTATATTACGTATACGTCTCTCTTCTCTGATATTGCAAATATTACCCTTTGTATATCTATTATCTATGTTACAGATGATTTTTAAAGTTTAGAGGTTATGCGTATTCAATGTTGTGATCTTTCGTTTTAATAATACAGTATATAAGAATTAATAGTAACTGTATAAATGCAGAACATATTTTTTTAAAGAATATAATATTCTATTAAGATGATGAACCGTCCTTTAAAAGGCCTTAGATATGCGTTGTTTATTGGTGGGGCTATAGGGGCTCTTTTATTAGTTATGTACCCCATAGTAATTGATCCAATGATAAATACCAAAAAATACCGTAAGTAGATTAATGAAATTAGTAAGAGCTGCTCCAGAAATAGACAATATTGCAGAAGAACTACAACAAAAGGCTAGGGAAGGACTGAGGCCACGAGAAAAATAATTAAAAATTAATTCAACAGTTAAGTATTTGAGCCGTTTTATGTTCGTTTATAATTGACTTAGGTATTCCTTGAATGGACCGTTGCATTAATGATTAGCAAGATTTTTAGGAGTAATGTAACACAATAAAAATAATATAAAATTTTATTGAAATTGTATATATAAAAAGATGTTTTTAAATTAATTGTTTTTTTCATGTGTATGTGACTAAAGCATGCACTATAAGAATGCATGTATTTAGTAAAAATTTTGTGCAAAGAAGTTCCGAGTTCTAGCTGACGAGCATTTCGCGAGGTCGTGTATATAACTAAAAGGTCAGAGATTCTTTAAATAGTAAAATTACTGAATCTTCTTGGTACTTCTAATTCTTGTTTTAATAATCATCTTGACTGTAAATATAAATAAAACTGTCCCTTTTAAATTTATATCTACATAATATATTTGAAACAGATAAATCCTAATTTACCTTAAGTATTCTTTAATATAATAACAATCTTTCTTAAAGCTTATAAAAAGTCATCATCATCACAGACATCAAGAAACTCATCAAATGCTTCCCTGTTACAATTCCCATCTGCATTAAACACATATTTATGAAATGTTCCATCTAAACAAATTGCTAAAAATAAATAAAAGCTAAATTGAATGTATAATATTATAAAACAAAACATCTACCAATAACTGAACTATTTGGTCCAAAAGCACAAACGCAGGCACATTCGGGGGGCACTGTGAAATTAGCCAATGCCCACTGGGAATCACCATAGGGCCCCAAAATACCCAAATTTGAAAGTCTGTAATTATTAAAATTGAAATATTTAGAAAAATCTTTTTACATTAATGTCTGTGCTTACGTCATGCGCTTATTTAAATTTGCATTTTTAATAGCAAAAATGTGTACAGTTCCTTTATCACTAGAACAGCACAAAAAATCTGAATCTCGACTAAAATTTATACTGTAAAAGAAATTTGTTAAGTTAATTTATTATTAAATAAACCAAATTCATTCTAAAGATCTAATTTAACCATTTTTACCAATATACAGTTGCTGGATCAGAGCCTCTTCTCAATTCAATCAACAATTTTCTGGTGGAAGAATCCCAAACCCTTATTAATGTTCCCTTATTAGATGCTGTGGCAATTCGTGTGCCCTGTTGGTTTAAAGCAATGCAACCTAATTCATTTCTATGAGCGCATATCCACACAGGTGCATTTGAAACTCCCCCTTCAGTGCCTGTTAAACCCTTAAAGTGCAAAAATAAAACACTGTCAATAAATCTTCACTTCTTCAATAGGTATTTTATAAAGGATTTTATAAAGGATGATGGCCAAAATTTCAAGTCTACAAAAAGTAACTTTCTGAAACATTATGTAACTTACAACTATTTGAACACTTCCAACTTTGTGCCCTGGAAAAATAAGTATCTGTTTCTCTGCAGAAGCCAGTGGAGTGACCTCGCAAAGTCCCCTAAGATTTTCTTTGGTTTCCAAAGAGAACAACCTTTGTAATGGGGTTGGAAATGAAAACACATGTATTTGATTAAGTAATGCCACTACTAATCTACAATCAGTGTTATCTGTTAAAAGCGAAACGCTGTGAATTATTTGCAAGAGTTATTACTTGTCTTTGCGCAACCTGACAGCCCTAATAGATGATGGAAATGTTATTTCCAAAATAAATTTCTTTGCTGCATCATCATACAACATTAATACATTATCAGCAAATTTAGGCCTAGGCGCCCCAGATACAATGGCAATAATATTTGTACGATGTAACATTTCACACTGGGATGTACTTCCCATTAAATCAATATCTGAAACATTGAAATTGAACTAAAATTAAAGGTTAACTGTTACTTTTTTTTCATACCATAGTGAGCCTTTTCTGCTAAAGGCTCAACATTATAAATTCTTAAACCACCATCCATACAGCAGGCAAAACATCCTATAAAGTAAGATTTAAAATAAGTGCTTTTTGTTAAAATAACACGCAAAAAAATCTTACCCTGATCTTGATTGAATCTTATATTTGAGATATTTTTATCGTTTGCCATATTTTGTAAATACCTAAATTACACTTCATTGATACCTTGAAATGAATTTCCTTTCTCCCTTATAAAAATATTTTTCAAAATCACAAAACCACGAGCAAAAAATAAACAAAACAACCCTTTGTCACATCAGCTGTTACTGAAACATTTTTGGAGTGGCAGTGGCAGTATCAACAGTAGCTATAAAATTTAGAAAATATACATATTTTTGTTTGTGAACATAATGGATAGTTAATTAAAAAATAATATTTACGTGTTTCTGTTTCATTATCATATCTGCCTATTATTTTGAAAATTAAACTTGATTATTATTACGGCTATGGTAGTTGTAGTAGATTTACAAATTTGTCAAAATAACGATTGTCAAAATATTTTCGAAAAGTAGGGTTATGTTCGGGTACTGCTTGAATTTTCTATACACCAAGCTTGGTTTTACATGCTTTATTTAATAAGATGTGCCACAATCAGTGCTAAAGGTAATCATTTACTCGTAAAATTAACTTTAAATTGCTTCAGAAGCCAAAAATGTAGATATAGATCGATAATGGCAAGTTCATGTTGAGATTGAAGTTTCCATTTTACCACATTGCTTATGATTGATATTTGAAACATTTTTATGATTTAGTTGCGAGCTTTTATAACACTATAACGTATTCATCAATTATTCGTCCTGATTTTGCCATTTTATCCCTGTCGTTTAAAAAAGATGTGCATTAATGGACAGTTTTTAGCAAGCACCCTTACAGTAAACCAGTAGCAATGAAGCTATAAAACAGAAATCCAATTTTTCTCTAATATTAAAAAGATTTCAAATCGAAAATAAAACCTGATAAAACTTATTTTCGTGCTAATTTTATCCATCTAAAGTACATTTAAAATCCATATTAGTAGATTATTGACAGAAATTATCAGGTTAAAAAGAAATAACTAGTTTTTAACAGAGTTGACTGTTGATGCATAATTGTAACCTTGGAAGTTTTTTAAATTGATGCTCTTAAGTTATATTTTGTTATAACAAGAAGAAGAGTGGTCTTATAGTTTTCTGTAACTTACCTGTACAGGCACCTACTTGAGAGCATATAGTTTTCAATTTTTCATTCTTCCAGCATGAGCTAGATTAAGAAAAAGTTGCTCAAGTCAGTGTAGGTGCTGAGATCTGAGAAAGACGTAGGCATACATACAAATTATGCAATAACATTGTACTCTAGTTATTATCCTCTCGCAGTGGCAGTGACCGAAATAGCCCGTACGTATGCCAGCAGATTAGTCCAAAGTAACACAGAAGACGTTAGCAGAGTCTGCAAGAAAAAGATGGCAGTAGCGAGCCAGGCTCGCGTATACGCCGATGTTAATCTTCATAAGTCTCAGTCGTACTGGGATTACGAAAGCTATAATGTAGAATGGGGCCAACAGGACGACTACCAACTCGTTCGCAAACTTGGAAGAGGCAAATACAGTGAAGTATTCGAAGCTGTAAATGTTACCAACAGCGAAAAGTGCGTAGTTAAAATATTGAAACCGGTAAAGAAGAAGAAAATTAAACGAGAGATAAAAATACTGGAAAATCTAAGAGGTGGTACAAACATAATAAATCTATTGGCTGTTGTCAAAGATCCAGTGTCCAGAACACCTGCTCTAGTATTTGAACATGTTAACAACACTGATTTCAAGCAACTATATCAAACCCTAACGGATTTCGACATTCGCTTCTACCTTTATGAACTACTAAAAGCTCTAGACTATTGTCATAGTATGGGAATCATGCACAGAGACGTGAAGCCCCACAACGTCATGATAGATCATGAGAAAAGAAAATTACGTCTCATAGATTGGGGACTGGCTGAGTTCTATCATCCAGGCCAAGAATACAATGTACGTGTAGCTTCTAGATATTTCAAAGGTCCTGAACTTTTAGTCGACTATCAGATGTACGATTACTCTTTGGACATGTGGTCGCTGGGATGTATGTTGGCTTCCATGATTTTCAGAAAGGAGCCATTTTTCCATGGCCACGACAACTACGACCAGCTGGTGCGTATAGCAAAAGTATTAGGTACGGAAGAACTGTCCGAGTATTTAGAAAAGTATCACATAGAATTGGATCCACGATTCAACGACATTCTTGGTCGACACTCTCGGAAACGCTGGGAACGTTTTGTGAACGGTGACAACCAACACTTAGTGACCCCTGAGGCTTTAGACTTTCTGGATAAACTGTTGCGTTACGATCATTTGGAACGCTTGACTGCCAGGGAAGCTATGGACCATCCGTACTTCCACCCCGTAGTCAAAGAACAGGTACAAAAGATGGCCGTAGGGTCTTCGTCCTCGACCCAACTTGCAGGTGGTTTGTCTGTAGTTGGTGTAGGCGAATAATAAAAATAATGCGAATGAACGCGACGAACCGGGAGAAAATTGTTTTGATTCAAAGTAAGAAGTCCTACTTTATCAGTGTGTCGAAAAAAAAAAGTTGTCCTAGGATTGGAAATTAATTTAAAAATGAATAGTGTTTAATTTGTTTAAACTGTTTATAGTAATTATATTTTTATTGAACAAGTTTTTAAGTAATAAAATGTTCTAATCTGTTACTGTTTTTCTTTTAAGAAAAACTATAAATTCTCATTTTCAGTATTTCTCTAAATAAATTCTACCGGTACCTAGATCTTTTTCTTGCTTTTACATGGCAATTCATTTAAATTTTCCACCCCACTTTTCTTTCCACTATTTTTAAAGTTAAAGAGGTGTTTCAAAAAAAAAATCGTAGGGGATTTTATAGACTTAAGAATTATTTTGTCTTAAATAAATGTACATACGAGTCCACGGTTTTAATAAAAGCGTAGTCAAATAAACATTAAACGAAATTCCTAGGTATTTTCTTATTTTAAAAGATATATTTTATGAGTATTTAAAAATATAAGAAATGTTTCGTTTAAAATATATTAGTTTGATTGACTACTTTTTAGAAAAACCACTAAAAAAACAGTCGTTTTTGAAACTCCTTATTACTTTACGAATAACGAAGGAAAATAGGGCGGAGAAAATTATTAAGTGAATCGCTATGTACTGTCGATATAAATAATCAGTCAGAAATAAATGTATAGGCAAGTTAGAATCCTTATTTAATTAAACCATGACTTTGTATCTATATTCACAGTTAAAAATTCTATTAAGAAAATTTGATAGAAACAGTTGCCCTTTTGAAAAAAAAAAAAA